TCTCGAAGTCTGGTCCCTCTTTCCCTGTTATATAAATAACACCCTCCCCTTAGGTGGGTTAGTGCCCTGTTCCCCCACTTCCCATTTTTCTCTCTTTTTCTTTTTTGCCCCTCATTTTTATTTTTATTTTATTTTATTTTTGCCCCTCATTTTTAGTTGGACTGCCAGTCATTTTGTAGTTGTTTGTGTCGGCACACAGTATTTAAATCAATTTGATTAAAATGTTAAATCAAACCAAACCAGTGGCCGGTGAGACAGTTCCAACTCGTGGTGACCCCACGTGTGCAGCATAGACCAGTTCCATAGTGTTTTCAATGGCTGTGGTCTTTCCAGACTAGATGATATTTTTCTGGGTGGATTTGCACCTCTAACCTTTACATTAATGGTAGTAAGCTTAGTTAATTTAATCTTGTTGGCTACCAGGTTGTGTCCAATTTTCTCTGGTAGAAAATTGTGTCCAAAATATACTTGTGTTGAAAATACACTGGTAGCAATATTTATTAGTTACTCCCTTTGAGGTAACTCAGAGAACAATTGAATTAAAGTGCTGTTACCTCCTCTCATCTAGTGATGCAAGTTTCTTACTGCTAATTACATTTTTATTCCCTGTGTATTTACACTGTTTCATGTCAACCTGAAGATATAAAAGTGTAGGGGTGGAGTGTAGCCTGTAAATCAGGTCACAGCCTGATGGTGCCTCCTTGGGAGCTTGACCTTCTAATAAGAGTCCTGGGAACCTCCGATCCACCCCAGCCACCACCCCCACCTCTCTCTCTGCTTCACCTTCTGGCTTGCTCTCCCTGATTGCTGCCAGAGCCCTGGAGATGTGTCCACCGCCACTAGCTCTACAAGACTTTACACCTACCAGCCTGTCATGTTCCTGCATTCTGCATCATTGCATGTGGGTTCGGGAGTCTGAAGAGGGACTGGTGGACTAGTATCAGCCTTACGGACTTGAGTTGGACTGGGCTGGGATGTTGTCCTGGGCTGGGATGTTGTCCTGAGGTACAATTGCTTCTTGATATACTTAATGCTCTTTGCCACACATATGAGTGTCACTGGATTCGTTTCTCTAGTCAACCTGGCCTCTCATCCCTCATCACCTTTGGCATCATTTGTAAAACTGTAGGAAAACCCTGTTGGAATTATTATACGGAAATCAGTTTCTGCCTTTTGACCTAGAAGTACATTTATCCTTCACCCTCGTGAAGTGTTCTCATGCCCAGTAAATGTAATCAAAGCAAATCCCTTATTGAATAGCATGTAAGATTTCTCAGCTATGACCACGAGATGGCTTCTTTTATCTCCATCAGAACTATTTTTAATAGCTTGCTTCAGATAATTTCTAAGTCTTTTAAATTTTGTTGGTTTGAGGACGTATTTTATTGTTATAGTAGCGATTAGGCCTAGGACCATCTTTCATTAGCTTCTCTAGTGTGCTTACTTTGTAAATTGAACCTTAACCTTCAAGTTGAATCTTGGACTTTTGAGGTAAAAAATCATTTCTGAGTTAGGTTTTGGTTTTTTTTCCTCATCTGCTTCTCAAGAATTACTTGCTTTTAGGGGGGTGGTGTCTTGATTTATTGGCTATTAAACTATTAAAATGAGTTTACATAATGGTGATTATAGAAGTAAGATACAGAAACTTAATGATGTGTTTTAAGCATGTCTTATAATTTGGAGGAAAACATTCTCGAGAAGGAGGGTAACAAAAGAAGTTTCGCCTTGCTAGTTGGTAGAAATCACGTTCCATACATGCTCACATTCTGACCTTGGCATTGGGAATCTGGTGTCGCCCTGAATCTCTTACGGAACCCCCAATGGCAGTGAGCTTGTTTTACCCCTCGCCTCCCCAAGTCAGTGAACGTTGGATTTTATCAAATGCCTTTTTGACTTGACTCAGAGTGTTTGTGTTTTCCTTCCATTCCACAATACATCATCCTTAGCTCTTTAAAACGTACCAACAAAACAATACCCTTACCTTCATAAGGGAGGCTAGTTTATAGAGAGCTCTGTAAACAAACTAATGAAATGGTCATTTATTGAGGGGGAGGAGAGTTACTTCTGGGAGGTGCCTCTTGTCCCACGCACATGAAATATTCCAGGCAAGGCACTAAATTCAGACAAGAGTTGGAGTAAAGGGTTGAACCGAAAGGGTGAGTTTATTGAAAGGGATAGTTTGGAAAGGAAGTCCAAAGGGCCCTTAGCTAGTCTAAAAAAGCCTGGTAGATTGTACAGTCAGATCTTAAATTCAGTTAATGGAGGACCTGCCCCCGTTGGCTGGCTTTCTGGTGGGTCCTCTGTTGTGTCCCGCTTCTTTCCAAGTTTCCTACACCCCAGCACCCAAGGTTTTGTGCTGCGCCCTTGTCTCCAGAGCCAAAGCCCCGGTGTCTCCTCAGTTGTTGTGAGGGCATTCTGAGCACCCAGGCCCTTTCAAACTCGTTGGTCTCTTCCTTGATAAGGAAATGCGCCTCACCCGCCTTTTACCTTCGTCTGTGCAGAAAAGTGTCTTCAAGTCTCCTTTATGCTGAGATTCTAACTAGATACCCGCCACCATCACCCTCCCTTCCCTCTGCTCGCCTCTGCCAGCTCACAGCGTTTTCTAGCCTTCATCACCCTCCCAGGCACATACTAGTAGGAAAAAGCTCGCTATAGGAATGTGTATGTTACCAACATCACCTTGATAACAGACATTGAGTCCCAAGATGGTTTGTCACATCAGGAGTATGGGTGTGCTGGTATATTTAATCTTCTTAATGAAATCCCAAGGACCAGTTCAGCCCCAGCACTAATGATGGCATGGGCTTTGCATTCATAGAGTGATCTTATTCCCAGGAGCACAAAGCTCTTCATGATTAATTATTTCAGTCATCCCCACACGCATCCCAGGCGGCGGCTCGCTGAGTGAGTGCTTCCACTTAAAAAAAAAAAAAAAAAAGAGGTAACTAATTGGATATTCTTCTGTTCTACATTCTGTGTTCTAGAACTGGATAGATGGCCTAAAGACCATCTGTATGCCCATTGGTGAAGCTGTGCTTGCCAAATCACAGGCTTCTTCCACATGTGAACACCAGGCGAGGAACAAATGAGAAGTAGTCAAGTTGGTGGAAATTTGAAGGATAGTATGGCAAACTGCTCTGAGTGGGTTAGGCTAGTGTTGGTAATCTAGCAATGGTTGAATTTGTGGTTTGGTCCCTCCATGCTGTTGAACATTTGTTTTGAAAATACTTCCTTGCCGAGGCACGGCCCACCACATTGTGCCTAGTCCCTGACAGTAGAAGGAATGGCTCCCTGTCCATCCTGAGAGGGCAGTTGGTCTTCTCACCCTGGTGCTGATGGGGCCGTAGCTGGGGGCTTTTCCAAGGGAAGAGAGAAAGGTGAGGTGTCTACAGTCCTTACGGCCTCTAGATGTGGCACCTCTCTTGGCCTTCTTCCTTCTCCCAAGAATCCTCCATTTCTCGTGTTCTCTCTCCTTCAGAAATGGACAGTTCAGGTGTGGGCATGTATCTTGTCAGGCGGGGAGGGGGCCCCGAGATCAGTTACAATCACCCCTCTGTTTAAAAGCCTCTGTCTCAGCTCTGCGGATCGCTGATCTCTGACCCTCCTGTCATGCTTTTCAAATGTCTCCACTGGTTTTGGTCCTTGACTCCCGAGTCTCCGGTTGGTCTAGAACTCTTTGAGTAAATGTCAGGTCAGGTCCCTTCTTTAAAAGACTTTTAATTCCCTTCACATATTTCTCAGCACTAGGGCCTTTAAGTGAAGATGAAATAACTGTGGTTGGCCTGCTTGCTCCCCACAACTGTAAACAAATATTGACTGTGCTATTTTAACGGTTTCATTTTTCATTCCTTACTAACGGCTTTGCCTGTATGCATTGTCCCACCCTCTCATTATTATTGTGCTTGTGAAGTTACCCTGAAAGGAGGAGTGGCGGGGGCTGGGGGGTGGGGGTCGGGGACTGGGGTGGCCTTTACCATGGGAAGGATTGTACTTACACTGTGCAGAGGATTCAGGGTGGGGACTAATTACCAGGTCTGAAAACCTCTTCAGGTGGCTGAATTCCTTAGCAGGACGAAAATACTGCTTTCCTAAATTGAGAACAGCCGGGCCGGGTTGCCAGCAAGTATAAAAGGGTGGACGGGTCGCGCGCTGTGTTAGAACGACTGCTTGACTCTTGGGGCCTCTGGAGCGTCCGTGGCTGGCACCCCGTCCTCAGCAGAGTTGTGGTGAGTGCCAGGAACTGGCCATCAGGATGCCCACCTCTGGTGTTCGGTAGATCAAAAGGTCGTTGTCTGTAGATAGCTGATTTCCGTGACAATGGTAGTAAACTGTCAGGTAAGTAGCACGTTCTTCTTGTTCCCAAAGGAGACCTAGCTGAGACTGGGTGTGTACTTTCGCTCCCAAGGTCTCAGTTCATCGCCGAATAACAAAAGTATATGCTTGAAGCAGGATGGTTTTAAGTATCTGGAGTGGATAGTTTTCATTTGAATGGGTTCTGAACACGACTCCGGGTTTGTTGCTATAGAGAACTGAGTGTTTTTGACTAACGCAGGGTAACAGTTATTCAATATGTGTAAGCAACTCACCATAGCTTTTTGTGCGGTGAGGTTTATTTAAAAGCTGCAGCATTAGGAGGAATGATGGTGGACAGGTTCTAGTCCATTATGACCTCATGGTTAGCAACGAGTACTGTCTGGGGACATGTTTGAGTCGCAGGGCTGGGACTTTTAAAGGGAATTTTAAGGGTTTTAAAGGGACTTGGTTGGTAAGAAGGTTCCTATTTCTATTTAACACCAGCCCCAAGAGAGACACGAAGTGCAGGATAAAACACCTCGCTGTTTCATAAATAAACGATCTCAGCAGCTCTTTCTCTTTGTCCTGGCGCTCTATTTGTAAAGTGAACACATTTGGCATTCCTTCTTTTGACAATGCGATTGTTTCGTAGAGTTGATGATCAGCCAAGCCCGTTTTCTGAACCAAGTCTTGTTCTGTTTTTGCAGGTGGGCTAGGAACAGGTTGGGGGCAGAGAGAATCGCTTCCTTCCCTGAATGAGGGAAGTGTCCAACAAAGAGCTAGCTGCACGAGAGGACCAGGATGCAGATGGCTGCCCATCTCCACATTGTATTAGGAAACACGTTCAGTGGTCAAAGTGCATGCTGACCTCGGAAAGAAAAGATATTCAAATTTGAAGTTCCCACAGCAAGGAAGAGCCCGACCCATCTCCCTTTTGAACCACGAGGCCGGAGCACCATGGATATCATAGAGACAGCAAAGCTGGGGGAGCATTTGGAAACTCAAGCCAATGACTCTACAAACGCTTACACGAGACCCGCCGAGCCTGTTGAAGAAGAAAACAAAAATGGTAACGGTAAACCTAAGAGCTTATCCAACGGACTTCGAAAGGGTACCAAGAAGTACCCGGACTATGTCCAGATTGCAATGCCCACCGACTCGAGGAACAAGTTCCCCCTGGAGTGGTGGAAGACAGGCATTGCCTTCGTATATGCGCTTTCCAACCTGGTCCTGACCACCGTCATGATCACAGTCGTCCATGAGCGGGTGCCTCCCAAGGAGCTGAGCCCTCCACTCCCAGACAAGTTCTTTGATTACATTGATCGGGTGAAATGGGCATTTTCTGTATCAGAAATCAACGGGATCATCTTAGTTGGACTGTGGATCACCCAGTGGATGTTTCTGAGATACAAGTAAGTGAGTTTCTGATATGTTTCGGGGGGGAGGGGGGGTGGCTATGCTATGAGCTTAAGTGAGGGGTGGGGTTTCAAAAAGTCCATGGAAACATTTCTTTTTCTTGCCTTTTTAGTCATTTTATTGGGGGGGGGGGTGTCTTATAAATCTTATAGCAATCCCATCATTCAATGGTATCAAGCAACACTTGTACATATGGTGCCATCCACATTTCCCAGAACAATTTCTTTCTACTTGAGGCCGTGGAATCAGCTCCTCTTTTGCCCGCTCCGTCCCCACCCCCATGGAAACATATTTCAGTAGCCTTGCATTCTATTTTTCCCACAAGCTTTTGGGACACCCCACCCCCCTAGTGATCTTTGTCCAACTTAAATGGTATTTGTCCATTTTACCTGATAAAGTCAGTCTTGCTGAAGCATTTGATACAAGGAAGGAGGCAGCAGGCAAGCCAGCCACGTTGAATACATTCAGTCAGTCACAACATAAATCAGTGGTTCTCAACCATTCTTATGCCGAGACCCTTTGACACAGTTCTTCCTGTTGTGGTCACCCCCACCCCCACCCCCACCCCTGCCAACCTTAACATTATTTTCGTTGCTACTTCTTAGCTCTGATTTTGCTACTGTTATGAATTGGGCAACCCCCAAAGGGTTGCAACCCACAGGTTGAGACCTGCTGCCACAAATGCTTCTTTGTGCAAATGACAAGCGCTAGTGTGAGTGACCCGGAGTTTATGGATTAAAGGTGCCACTTCTGAGGACAAGAACTTGACTGCGTGTTACCTTAGGGGACTCGGAGAGGAATAGCTTTCACTTTATCATGCTTGTTTGATCTCAGGCTCTTGACCGAAGGGCAGGGCAGGTGTAGGAGGGGCTTGTCTCCACGACTCATGAATTAGCTGGCTGTGTTGGTCCAGAGTCAGCGGCATGCTTGAAGGTGGGCTTCTGTTCAGGAGATCTCAAATGTCTCATTTCTGTGCCTTCTCCCTGTTGGCAGGGATTTGTTGAAGAAACTGAATTTAGAGCCGGTCTTCCTGGCGTGGGTCTTCGATGGCTCTTGTCCATGTGCCTCCTGTTTCTTGCAATGGCACCAAAAGCAACTGCTGCCCCTTTGGACCAGCAAGAGGCAGGAAGTAGTGGGTCAGGTGGTTTTGCTTTGAAGACATTGAAACCTTGGCCCGAGCCCAGAATTGGTTATTTCTCTTTCCCGGTGTGAGTTCTAGCTACTGGTCCAAATAAATAGACCCCCCTCCATTTCCCTTTTCATCTCACGCGTCACGTGTTTGTTCCCCGCTGAGATTCTAGGAATTCAATCAAGCATAATAAAAACCGGAGCCTTTAAACCTGAGAGAGTCCATGTTGAGCTGAGAGCTACTCACTACCACGGAGTCCATTCCACGCATAGCCACGCTATATAGTGCTTCCGAGGCTTTTAAATCTTTACAGCAGCATCGGTGGGTTTGAACCACAGACCTTGCAGTTAGCAGTGCCACACTTAGCAGACAGCTCAGTCATGGCTCCATGATCTTAAAATTAAGATTAAAAAAATAATAATCTTAGACAGAGAATAAGACCATGGCCATCTCGTTTTTTCTTGTCATCTGAAGACGGGAGAAGAATGCATTTCATGGAGACGTCAGAACGCCGTCAGTGCTCTTCAGACAATCCCACGCCAGATGGAATCTCAGTAGGATCGCCAAGATCATTGGAGAAGGGAGACTATTTGCTGCAGTTTTCCAATTGACTGCTTTTGGGAGATTAGACGCCTTCAATCCTGTCTTTTTTACTAAGACGCAACTTGACCGCTTTGAAAATGTATTCCAAACCCTGAAGCCAGTCCTGGCCATTTTCCATCTTCTAGCTCTGACTCTTCTTTGTTGCTCTGCATTGTCTTCCACGTAGGAGGTTTTATGCTGAAAACATGAGCTCTGTTGGGTGCACCTCGGTGTTTTTCTTGTTAGTGTGTGGAACTGACACAGAGTACAAGGAAGCCTGTTTGGGGCCAGAAGTATTTGCTATCTCCTTTAATATAGAGTATAGGCTCCCAGACTTATTTGACCTACTGCCTCCTTGCTAGGGGGTGAAAAATTAGTCCATACCCCCCCAACCCCCAGGCAAGTTAAAGCTTTTGTATCATAGCCCATATCCAGGATAAAGTATAAAACTCACTGCCATCGAGTCAATTCTGATTGCATGGCAACCTTGATAGCATGGTGGTTATGCAGTTGGCTTATAAGGTTAGCAGTTCAAAACCACCAGTCGCTCCAATGGGAGAAGGATGAGGCTTTCACCTCCTATAAAGAGTTGCAGTCTCAGAGACCTACAGGGGCAGTTCTACCCTGTCCTAGATGGTGGCCATGAGGATCATAAAGTATAAATATCTGCCTTTGCAACCTCCCCTCCCCATAGCACCCACTTGGGGGGGGGGGCGTGATTTAGAGCAAGATTTTTGTCATGTGATAAAAAGAGAAATTGTCCAGGCAATCTGCCCCTAAGTACAATCTTCACCTCAGTTTACGTGAATCTGCCTCTCCTTTTAATTTTTAATGTGTTAAACTCATGATTCCAGAGATGGGCCACACGTTTTAATTATGATTCCATCACCAATTAGCGTTCAAAAGTTGTGGGGGTGAGGAGCGCTCAGAATCACACAAGTTTGCCCTTTTATTTTTGCTTTGAAATTGGATCTTACATTTTAGTAATTGGTGGGATAATCGTTATCTGTTTTGAACAGCCAGCTAAGTAGGAAATCCTACTTGCTCTCTGTTTTTCGTTTTGTTTTATTCTAAAGCAGTTTTCAAAGCTAGGGAAATAAAATCAGTAACAATAGTCCCTTTTCCAAATAAAGCCTAAGGGTTCATGTTTCGCCTCATAAGTGACTTTTCATTTCTGTGTACAGCTGTGCTTAAGAGGCTGGAGTGGATATACTTGGCTCATAATAATTCCTATTTTTGACTTCAGCTTGTCTAACAATGTGAAGCAGCATCCGCAATAGCACGTTCTGGGGTCTGGGGTTGAATCAGAGATTCAGGGGGTTGATAAGGGAAACATACTTCGTTGAGCCAAGAGGAGAGAGAGCACCACTGTCAATTATCCATGACTTTTCAGTAGCAGAGGAGGCTGAGCTAAAATAGAAAGCCTTGGAAAGAAATGAGTACTTCCTTCTACCAGCCAAGGTGGCGGTGTCCGGGACTTTGATCCTAAGAACCGTGTGGAGTCTAGGCTGGCGGGGAAGAACCTCCGGTTGGTGGATTGACACAGCGGCGGCAGCAATGGCCTCAAACAATGCAACGGTTCTGAGAAGGGAACCGGACGGCGGGGCAGTATTTCGTTCTGTTGTGCGTAAAAACTGTATGAGTCAGAACCAATTGAGAGACCCTGACAGCAAGAGGAGAATGCCAACTACTAACTCAAGGGCTTTCTACTCCCATAAAGAGTTAGAGCCTCAGAAACCCAGAGGGCCACTTCTGCTCCATCCTATGGGGCCACCAGGAGACTGAAATGACTCCATCGTAGGGAGCTTGCATTCTGTGGCGCCGCTCAGCTCTTAAATCTCCATAGCCCAGAGCTTAGAGACCTACTCGCTGTGTGCACGAGAGAGGAGGAGTTGTCACCACCGGCTGGCAGTGAGGACGCTCAGAACCCAGGTGCCCCAGGCAGTGACGTCATGACCAGAGAGAGGCCTTTAGAGGACTTGTCTTCTGAGTAAACAGCTGGAGCGCCATGAAGGTCACGAGGAAAAAGACCATCTCGGTCCAACAAATCACGCCACCCCAAAAGACGAAGCGAACAGAGCCTGGTGTGATTGGTTGTGGTTGTCTTTTTCGGTCAAGGTTGAATAACATCAGTGGAAGTTCATCAGTTTATACTTTTACTCTCCTTAACTTCACAAGAGCACTTTGGACCTCTTCAAAATTTAATTTTTCCGGAAAATCTCTTTTGTCCAAGAAAAAGAAAAATAGTGTCCCTGCCCAAGTGGCTAAAATACCATTGGATGCTCCCCAAACAGACCCTGCATGGGTAACAGGGTCAATGAGCTCATCCTATGATCCTGGGTGTCCAATTATGTAGTATCACCTGGTTCATTAGATGCCCACAACTCACTCACATCTGTGATATGTTCCCAAGAGGAGAAGGTTTCAATAATGCAGCGAGTGACTGCAGGTGCGTAAAGGCTCATCGAATACTCTAGCAAAGAGGGACTTTTTTTTTCTTTTTAAAGGTGAAGTGATTCCGCCCCCCCCTCCAGGCCTTAGTCTACTTTCAGGTAAAAGGCGACCTTTCTACTCCCCTGAAGTCTTGGAAACTCCTGGCAGGCAGTTCTGCCCTGATCTGTAGGGTCGCTATGAGTTGGCATGGACTCGATGCCCAGGGAGTTTGCGTTTTTGTTTGTTTTCATCTACTCCTGCTCCCCTCTGAGACCCAGGCCTCTGGGCCCTAAACCACCTCTAAATGACTGAAGCATGTTTATCTTCAGTCTGACCTCTGTGGTGTCATCTCTCCCTGGAATTGGCCGGCTGGGCTGATGGCAAAGAAGCCTGTAAGTTCCGGGAACCTGTGTTATCATGTGTTAATGCATCCTGTGTTACAAGTGTCTTTATTCTGTTAAACATCGTTGTTGTAGATTGCATCAGAAGTAAAGACATCCATTTCTATTCTTCCTCTAGGTCCATCGTGGGGCGCAGATTCTTTTTTATCATGGGAACTCTGTACCTGTATCGCTGTATCACCATGTACGTTACCACCCTCCCTGTGCCTGGAATGCATTTCCAGTGTGCTCCAAAGGTAGGTGCCTCTGGATGTCTCTGCAAAGAAAGTCGGGAAAAGTTCTAGAACTCTTGCTCTTGGTCCTACATCCTTCTAGACACTTCTGTGTGGTAACTAAAATCTAGCCTGCTTTCTTTAGTAGTCATATGGGAGCAGGGGAGAGAGACACCACATCCATCACATATCTCTAGTATTGCCCACAAATGCTGTCTTCTTCTAACTGAAGTGGGCCATTGGCTGCTTGCCACTTTCCTTTCTGTGCCTTTTCATTAATTTATCCTCTCCTGCATCCATTCTACAGATACTCAGCTCCCAGTGTGTACCAGGCATTTGGGAGTAAAGGCAGTGACCTTCTGGAGTTTATAGTCTATTGGGAAATGACAGGTGGTTTTTAAAAAGCACCAATAAATTCATAATAGGACCAAGGGTGTTAAAGTGAGTGAAGCAATTCTCCACTGAAAACAAGAGGGTTCAGTAAGGGTGAAAGAGAATCCGAGGGTAGTTTGTATTTGACAGTAGAGATCAGAGAAGGCTTCTTTCATGAAGTCTCTGGGCAGGAACCCAATTGAGGAAGTGAGCAGGGATGTGGGATGAGAGCTCCAGGTTTGATCATGGTGGGCTCCAAAGACGGCAGGGAGCCCTCTGTGCTGTGTGGCCTTGTGAAGGGTCCAGATCCATGGAGGCTCAGAGCTCATCGTAAGACCTTGCACATGGATGGTGGAAGTGGTGAGTGGGTCTGTACTGAATACACTCTGAGATCCAATCAATAGGATGTGCGTGCCCAGTGAGGTTGGAGAGATGTCAGAACTGCCTGTTTCTGCTCTGAGCCACTGGAAAGATGGAGTACTCTTTTGCTCTGAGTGTAGTATTAGGATGCCTGCTGAAATGGTCTTGGGTAGTTTTACGGGCTATTTTGGTCTATTGTTTCTTTCTCTTTTTTTAATGTTAATCAGTTTTTCCAGTAAAGAGACAATTCTCCAGAAAGTTGTGTGCCCTGGTTTATAAAATGGAAACTTCCCAAATCATGTGCTTTCTGGACCAGGCAATGAGGTCAAACATCCTATTTAACTGAACACTAAGCAGATGTCTGAGGCGGGAGGAGTAAAGCCATGCTAAAGAAGCCCACACTCTCACTCACCAAATATAGGTATGGTGTGGGGGAAGCTGTAATTTCCCAAAGCAATCAAGGCATCAAGTATAGAATTAAAACAGTTTACACATTGAATTTAAACATTGGCCATTTTGTTTTGTTTCATGAAACTAAGGCATGGGAGGAGTTGAGACACATAAATACACACTTCTAATGTGTTGAAGGAAGAAACAGCCACAGAAATGAAGGCATTCGAGGAGCGGATGAGGTTTACAGGAGGAGGATTTGCTATGATTACAGAAAGAAGGTCAATTAGAGATTGTCTTCCACAGAAGGGTTGCAATTTCTGGAAGCCACATCAGTGGAGGTGCCGCTGGGTGACTAGCCCACGTGTCTTCATTATGGAATCTCTGCCCGCACCCCGTGTTCACGTCAGAGCCTTTTCCTGAAGCTGAAGCAGGCCCTGGCGCCTGTATTGTGGCGCAGGAAAACACTAACCTCTTTGTTTGACCAGAGGTGACGCTATGGCATAGAACAGGGCTGTATCTTCACTGGGATTCTGGAGCTGGCTCGGTGAGCTCTTTCAAGTTTTGTGACTACAAGGCAGTTAATCCACCTGCCTTCCTTTGTTGCTGACTCTACACAATACCCTTTGTGAATCTGGTCACCACCGGAACTCTGCACACGGAGACCATTTGCAGTGGGAGGAGTGAGTTAGACCTAGTCATTTATATCTAATGAAACTAGTAACCCACCAGACAGGATCACAACGAGGGACCTTTGTGTTGGTGGGCCCCTTGTTGAAATCCTTGTCTGTAGCAGCTTTCTAATTGTGTTCTTTTATCTTCCCTGGGATTGATTTTTAAATCTTTTGCTTATAATCCGGTTCAAGCATGCAGGGGTTCCACGTGAACCTGCTCTCCACCCACTCTGCAGGTTGAAAACCCCCAGCCACTCCGCAGGACAGAGAGGAGGCTTTGTAGAAATCCACAGGGGTAGTTCGACCCTGTCCTGCAGATCGATGTGAGTCAGAATTGATTCCATAGCAGTAAATCATGGGTCCTTTTTTTTTTTTTTG